GTCTGTCTCGCTCTGTCTCTCTCTCTCTCTCTCTCTCTCTCTCTCTCTCTCTCTCTCTCACACACACACACACACACACACACACACACACACACACACACACACACAGAGAGAACAGCTCTTTTTCCCTTCAATGCATTGTGTAAGTAGGCACAGGCTATCACTTGACAGTATGCTAGCACAGTCTAAAACTAAAATAACATCATTTTCTTATAGACATTTTAAAAATGGATTTCAGAATTTGCCTTGTCCAAAATGTAATGGAAGTTTGAAGCTGATTTTGGCTGCAAAGCTGTGGCTGAAAATCAGAAGTGGGCTGCAATAAGGATGAAGTCTGGCGTCAAGTTGCACGAGTGAAGGGCAGAAGGACTGAGTACCATTTATCTAGGAAAGAAAGAAGAAGGATCAACCAGAAAAAAAATTAAATATTGAAGAAAAGAAAAGAAATGTTCACTAATGGAAGGGTAATTTGTAATGGCAATTAGAGTTATTATTACCGTGTAATATTAATAGGGAAATGTTATCATGCAATGATAGTTTTTAAGCTAAACACTGAGAAAGACAACCTGAGTTAATGCAATGGAAAATAATTACAAATAATTGACTGGGGGGGGGTCTGGGGCGGTGGTAGTGTAGAACCTATGTGTTTGGAGGGAAACACCCTGAAATAATTGTTGACAGACATCTGTTAGGGACAGCTGAGCTCTAAAAGGAATGTTATTTTATGAGCTGTCAAGTTACATCCAGCTTATAATATCCCTAATAGGGCTTTCAAGGTATGTGAGATATTTAAAGAATTATTTTACCAGTTCCACTCTCCCCCCCACTTCCCCATGAATGTCTATGAACTAGTGAGGATCTCTGAACCCAGCTTTCCTGCATCCCAATCTGCCACTCTTCCCATTATATCACACTGACTCTCTAAAAAGAGGAGCTGTCATTTATATAACTCATTTGAGGAGTTCAAAGCACAGTGGTCGATCGTGTGCTCCTCTGGACAGGGACTTGTCCTGTTGTGTAACATTCAATGATGGCAGACATGTGGCATGATTTCCCGGCACTGCACATCTCCCTGCTTCACTGCTTCCTTTCACTGGCTGCTGATCCATCGGGTCCGCATGTTGAGGAGAAGGGGTGCGTGGGTGTGGGAGAGTCTTCCAAGGCATTACCAAACTTTATACCAGAGGGAGGAGAAGCAGATTGTAAGGTTACTCGTGTTGGCTGCAGCTACTCACTGTTCCATAAAGGGTTGGGGAAGAAGCAGATTAAACCTGAAATTGGGAACAGAGACTGGAAAAAGAGAGGAAAGAGCAGAAAGGAAGAAACAAGAAACAGCTCAGCAAATAACATCCCTTTCTAGAAGGAGAATGCAGTGTAAATCTAGGTACAATTGGATACAGAAGAGGTACAGTGGTGCCTCGCTAGACGATAATAATCCGTTCCACTGAAATCGCTGTTTAGCGAAATCATCATCTAGCGAAAAGCATTTCCCCATTGGAATGCATTGAAACTTGTTTAATGAGTTCCAATGGGGAAGAATTGTCATTGTCTAGGGAAGATTGGCCATAGGAAAGCCGCTTTGCAAACCGCCAATCAGCTCTTTAAATCGCTGTCTTGCGAAGGTTAGGTCCTGAAAACAGTTGTTTTGCGAGCGCAGAGGAAGCTGTCAAAACCGTCATCTAGCAAAAATCGGTGTGCGAAGCAGGGACCAAACATTGTCCAGCGAAATTACACCATAGGAATAACTGTTTTACGAATCGCTATAGCGATAGCAAAAAGTCAATGCCTAGCAAAAAAAACCTGTCATGCGGGGTAACTGTCTAGCGAAGCACCACTGTATATCCCTGTCCAATCTGAGGAAGGGAATCTACTCTCCCCCTCTTCATGCTTTTCCCCTTCTTCTCTCCCCACCTCTTTCCTCCTGTCTCCTGTCTTTTAGGTTGTGAGCCTGAGGACAGAGGCTGTCTATCGATCTTTGTAAATCACTCTAGGAATCTTTATTTATTTATTTATTTGAAGGCTGCAGTAAATGTTCTTCAGACAAACAAGTGTAGCTTTGGTCAGGCCTTAGTAATCCGTCTGTGGGAGGCAAAGGCGGGGACTTTTCCTGATGTTCTGTAGACCAGAGAGTTGCAGCTGAGACAGAATTATGAACAGAGAGCCTTCCATTAGCACCCTTAGCTACTCTCACAGGACTTGCCTCTCAGACTAGATTAATTCCTACATTGCAGTTGAAAGCATGCCTCAGGAAAACTTGAAACTGAGGATCATTCAAAGCGTTAGAAAAGTAATATGGCTGCTTAAATTCACCCATATCTCCTTCAAAATTCTGGGCAAGATTCTACTCATCTTGGCCCACCACAGAGGAGTTGTTTCCCCCTCCTCTTCCAGCCAGATCCTCATCTGTACTATGAAACAGTCAGTCTTCACATTTTGTGATTGATGTCCCTGGTGTCATTAGTATGCCAGTTACATAGCTATGCAAGAGGATTTCAGCCCTGCCTAAAGAATCTAATCAAAGGAATACAGTATTGGGGCCAAGTTAGTCATTATGTTACCCAACAGTCACAACAACCCTGTTGTGATTTTACTTCTGGGTAAATGAAATTTTAGAAGTCAGAGTGGCAAATTGCAGCTAACTAAAACAGGATGTTGCTTGCATCCCTGGTCACATGCTGTTTGCACAATCAGGCATGCAAACAGCATCTTGTTAATCAGCTGCAATTTGCTGCCATGTCCTATGTGATTTCAGCAGAGTACAAATAGGATCCCCCATCCCAGTATATATATCTATATATAATAGGAAAGGTAGCTTCTGTCTCTTCCATCATCCTGCCAGAAGGTTCTGTGCAGGGTTTCAAATGTGCATTTGCAAGGAACTGCATTTAAATACAGTATAAGTGTCTAATCACAACTGAATCATGTGCTGTGTGAGCATGTTCAAGAGATTAAAGTAATAAGACTGCAATAAAAGAGCTATTTAACTAGTTGTAAAAATGCACACCAGATTTACCAGAATATAAAGTGAGGAGTGAATTTATTTTCCAAGAGAGAAATTTAGTCTCTGCATTTTGTCGTATTGTGAAAATGGCCATCTGTTCTAGTTCCTCTTTATCTGTCCATTTTTGCCTCCCTCTACCTATATCCCCCTCCCAACCTGGTCTCCTCCTTATCACTGGCTAAGTGTAGGCATACATCCAAAAAGGGACAGGAAGGAAAGGGGGAGGATTTTCTCAGAGTAGAACATTAACTGGCAATTCTTATCCCAGAAACAGAGGTCTGTCTGACAGCTACAGGGAACAAGTCAGCAAAATGTTAGCACATTGATTTTCCCTTCCACGTTCATTCATTTGCTGAAGACAAGAATTGTGTCAGCCACATGCCATTGTCTAGCACCTACAGGGAGAAAAGGCCTATGATATCTGAGGGCTCCTTTTGGAAGGCACTTTTGAGACAGAGATGATCGCCAGTCCTTGAAAGGGCTGCAAGATTTGCACCACCCAGAAGAACCTGATGGGTTTTCCCAGGTTTGGCATCTCCTTAAATTTGGAATCAGTGATTTTAAGACTGCAAGACTGGAAGGGATCCCCTGAGTCATTGAGTCCAGCCCCCTGTCCAGGAGGAACACTGGGGAATCGAACTGCCACCCTCTGAAGATGGGAGTTGATTGAAGTGGAAAGCTAGGCCCATAATACACAGCCATTCTGGACAAAATAAAAACCCAGGCAGAACAATATCAATATTCCAGTTTGGTACTTTTTAAAAAAAGGATTACACAGCTCTGTGAGTGAGTACAGAAGGGGCAGAGATGAAAAGGGCAAAAGGGTAATGGTGGAATGCCATTTTAGCCTGGTAGAAAGTAAATACTAAATATTTTATGGACCCATTTTTCCTTTCTAAATTCTTCAGCAGGCTTGGATTTTTCTCGCTGATTCATTATTCCTTCTCACTATCTCCTGTGTTTATCATTCTAATTTTATTCCTGTTCTTTTCCTTGTCTCCATGCACAATTAAAGTGGTTCTTTATATTAAATGGATTACATGCTCTATGCTATAAATAAGTGCAGGAATTAAGATTCTGTTCACTTGTTTAAGCGATAAGAAATTGGAGGCACCAAGTTTTCCTTCTGACTCCCAGGAGGAGTGGCCCACGTGCTCGTGGGGCCCTTCTTTTGTATACATCTTCCTTTTTATTCCTTTCTCTGTGAGTGTGAAGAACAAATGCAACTCGTGGTGTAAATAAGCCTCTGGGGTGGCTTTTCAGTCTCTGTGTGAGTCCGAACTCTACTTGTGTTCATAACACAGGGTGGTGTGTTCAAGAAAACTGGAAGAACCCACTGTAATGCAGCAGAAGTCAGTGGTTACTAGGCAGCCAAATCTCAGCTGGGCTGCTGAAGGATTTTGGAATTGCTTTTTAAGTAACATGCAATTTACACCTTTCTAATTTTTATTCCCTTTCTAGTGAAGATTATGAGACGGATTTACTGCTGAGCAGAGGAACTGTTGCTTGTGGAGATGGAGACCGGTACCTGGTAGGTTTGGCTCATAAGACTGCTTGAGAAAAGTATGAATGAAATGGAATAAAGCCAGCCAGGCCAGAGTGCCTCAGAAGCTGGCACGGAGTATGTTGCTGCTTCAGCAAACAGTCGCACCGTTTCATATGTGATAACCAGCAATTGTGGTAGAAAAAAGAAATGTAGAAGACCTGGGGATGGTGGGGGTCCTGGTCAAGGGGGGTGAGTTAAATCCATCAGGGTTGAAGCTCGCTGTGAAGCATGGGTAGCAAGCAACTCATGGGTCGCATTCAGAAAGCCAGCTGAAGCTCCGTAAACTGTAGTTTATGACGCCATGGGTAATTATTTGAATATGAGCGTTGGATCTTAAAGGGGTGAGCACCTAGTGGGAATAAGGGAAGGGATCCCGAGGGATCCCATGGGATCTCTTACAGAAAAGGCAGAGGAGGCGTTGTTCTTGTAGAATCTGAGGAGGAACACTGCAGGACAGCCTCCTGCTGATGGTGTTGCCGCTACTTGCAGGCATAGCTGTGGTTGAAGGAAGGAGGAGAGGCTTTAAGGAGGATCGGCTGGAGGAGAACATTCTGTTGTGCCATCTCTAGGGTCAGCCCAGGGCATGTTGGTGCCTGACATGGGAAATCCAAATATGACATCCCTCTGTCTTCCCACAAATTAACACGGACCATGGTCTGGGTCAGCGTGTGACAATCTCATTCGATGAACAGAAGCTTTGCAGGAGGAGTGTGTGGGCTTTAAAAAGAGAGATTCCTAACAAGGCTTGTCCCAAATCCATCTGCCACCCCAAATGGTACCCCAAATTCCATGGCCTAAGGGGAAATAGTTCCGCAGACGGGGAGTCACCAGATAAGTAACAAGACTAGTCATATTCTCTCTCTCTCTCTCTCTTTTCCTTCCACAGCAGTTCAGTGTTGCCCCTGACCTCTTGCTTCCGCCTGCTTCAGCTCTGGCCGTTCCTTCTTCTCGCCTCTGCAGTTCCTGCTCACAGCGCTTGGTCCCTTCGCAGCCGGGGTGCCCTGGCAGCACGGTCGCTCTGCAGCCATCGCAGCCCCCCCGCCTCCAAATCTGTTTGCATCTGGGACAAGAGCCCACCCTCAGAGAAAGGATCTCCCTCTGCCTCACAGCGCCAACGCACCTTCCTTCCCAGAGGGGCCGGCTTGCGCAGCGCAGTGCGGCTGAGGCGTCAGGCTCAGGGGGGCCGGCCTGCCACCCCCTCCGGCTTTGAGGACGGCATGTCCTCCTCACAGTACCCCTGGGCCATAGTTTGGGGTCCCACAATATCAGTTGAGGATGGAGGGGATGCCAACTCTGCCAACCCAGGCTTCCCTCCTCTGGATTACACCTTTGTTTCCTCCAGTGGAGTGGCAACAGCGCAGCCTAATTCTCACTCACTTCTACACAATGAAGGGCTCAACCTGCGCCAAACGCCAGCCACGCTACGGCCCTTCCTCTTTGGGCCTCGGGGTGAAGGTAATCGCCATCTTCTTCCCTTTGTGCCTTTAGAAGAGATAATGTTGACCCCTATGTTCCCTTAACAATGCTTAAAGACACACCGTAGTCTAGCAAGAAGGGGTCAGTCCTAGATAAATGGATAGATGGCTTATGTTGTTCATTGACTCTCCCTCTCTCTGTGTATTCCAGGTGTGGATCCACAGCTTTACGTTACTATTACGATCTCTGCCATCATTGTCCTAGTTGCTATGGGGATAATACTCAAATTCTGGTGAGTAGATTTTAGACTGCTGGAAAGGATCGTCCCGCAAATCTATTGAAATTAAGCAAAATACCATGGGATATGGATAGGGTGTGTATGTTAGGTCGCAAAATGACAAATTCAGGTCTTCTAAAAATTCCTGGGAAGTCAATTTCTTTGGGCCTTTTTTATTCTGCAACCTTAGTCTGGGAGCTGGAAGTGCAACTAACTGCACAGGCAAATCCTTTAAGAAGTGGTCACAATCCAGAAGTCAGGTTGATGCTGTGCAGCAGTCCTAACATGGTACAGCACATGCATTCAGGTCTTGCACTGGACCAAAATAAGTACACTGCATAGTATACAGTGCAGGTATTAAAGAAGATTGCTGTGTTAAAAGTCCACAATATTTTTTATTTCACAGCAATTTAAGTACAGCTTCTTCTCATCTCCTGTGGGCCCCTTTTCTGTCACATCTCAATTAAATTTGGATTGGGCCACATAAAATTGCACAGATCACAAGTTTGCTCTTATTACCATAGTGAAACGGAGCACGGAGGATTCTTCATGTCCAGCTCTTTAATACTGTGAGTTTCTGTTGAAGTCTTCCAGTTCGAAAAAACACTTGGAAGCTTTGAAGCAATTGATATTTGCGACCTCATAGGGACTCCTTTAGGTTTGGTCCCACACCCACTGGTACATGCGAATTTATGTCCTTGTGCTGCATGTTTTTTTATTACTTTTAATACTTCCAGTACTTCCTTGTGCACTATTGGTGCACTTGACTGTTGCATAATTTTTTTTTAGAAGTGTCCTCTTTTTCAAGTGATTTTTTTTCAGTCAAGCCTCATTCCTGTTTCCTCTACATAACTAATTATGATTATTACAGTTCTGTGGTGTGTGACTTAGGATGTAGACAAGTGTAATCTTTGATTGCCACTACACTGGCCTTTGTGGAGTGGTCTGATGTGGTCTAAATAGGGTTATCTGAGTTTGAGGGGAGGAGCAATATGCCATTGAGTGCAATCCTCAAGCAACCCTATTTAGTTTGGCTCCTTTCACTATCAATTTCAAGTATCATGAAGTGGCTTAATAAATGAGCCACTTCAGGGTGTCAGCAAATTCAACACTTCCTCTATTCCTCTGTGAAGGAGCAGGGGAAGTGACCTTTTTTTGTTTCTGCTAGACTATCGCTGCTGTGGTGAACCACTTAGATAAAAATTTAAAAAATCTTGTCTTTGGCTTGTGTGCAGTGCCAACTGAGAAACTGCCTGAAGCTGTGGTTTCAATTGGCAATTCACATAAAGGCGAATTTATTAAAAAAATAATTAATGTAAATGTTGCAGTGCATCAGTAGTGTCTAACAGAGGCAAAAAAAATTATAATTTTACTTCCTGTGCCCCTCAACACAGGAGTAGCGAAAGTGTTCATTTTGCCAATACCCTGAAGTGGCTCACTTATTAAGTCACTTCACAATACCAAAAACTGACAGCAGAAGCCTTGGCAGTATTGATGGCTGCAAGGCTAGATTTTGGACTGTTGGCAGTGATAGCATGCACTGGAAATGGATGAAACTAGAGTACTCCTACCCACACCAAAAATGTAGAAGCCCCTGATAAGGGCTGAAAAATGGGCCGTAGGGACAGTCTGGGGATGGATTGGTTTGCTCTAGATATCTGGTTGTAGGTGGGGGGAAAGCAAACCAACTCACCCCCCCGCAGTACACCAAACAGTGGGACAAATACCTATCTGATCAACTCCTTTGTAAGCATCCTCACCACATTCTCTACTACTCTTCTCCAGGCAAGAGATCTAGGAGGACAAATCTATATGTTTGCATCAAAGGCCAGCTGTGGGCAGTCCTGATTGGCTAGTGCCTATGATGACACTAGCAGCTCCTCACTCCTATTTGAAGACATTTCCAACAATTTTGGCAACCTTTCCTTTGTGTGCAGTGAAGGATGAATGCACAGCCCACTAAAGCCGCCCCGAGTAGACATTGTCTAGAGGGGTGGGATAAAAATCGAATGAATGAATGAATGAATGAACAAACAAACAAACAAACAAACAAACAAACAAACAAAGGGAAGGATTGTGGTGGCCCAGTGAAAATGAATGAGTGTAGCATGCAAAAAAGTTCCTTGTTCTATCCTCAGAAGCTGTAGGTAGAGCTGTGAGACACCCCCACCGGAGAGACTCTTGGTCCATGATCAGATAGTGTTTACTGCCAGTCGGTGTGAACAGTACAGAGCTAGACGGATCAATAGTCTGAAACATTACTTTGTTGGACAATGGCTCCCACAATCTCCGAGTCTAGAATTTGGGAATTGTCCAAAAAAGGTAATAGTAACTTTCTCAGGCTCTGAAATAAAGACTGGGTGGTGGTGGAAGGGCCAAAAGGGTAGCTGAACTGGATGGCAAGAATGCCTCTTTGAAATGCAGGGGTGAGAAACTGAGAGAGAGGTGAGCCAACCTTGCAAGTGGAGCACCCAGGGACATTTCTCTTTTATGCCTGTCTGCACCTTTATTGCCATCTGTATCTATCCAAGACACAAAGTAAGTTGTTGATGGTTTGGTTTTCTCAGCCATCACAGTTAAGAGCCGGTTGAAGGGATTCTTCTCAGACACATTGGTTTTATTTATTTTGGCTTTCCCATCAGTTTGTTATAAAAGCACCATAAACTATTTGAAGCATTGGTGCTCACACTTTAAGTGTCAACATAGCTCTAAAAGTAGGTTTCCTGGCTTGTCATCTTCTCTTCCCAGTGCTAACAGGCGAGTGAAATGATTCAATTTTTTATCCTAGAAGACAGCTTTAAAACCTGTCTTTGCACATGCCATCTTTTCTTTTCATATAGCTTTAAAAGATGTACTTGGGACATAACCCATCTTGTCTTTCCAGAACTCACAGACAAGAGAAACAATCCTCTTTTCCCCCCCATACTGGATTATTCCCAAGACATTCATTCATACCCATTTATGCAAGCACTTATGCATGAAGAAACAAATTATATGTGAACCCATCAGATGGGAGGCATGAGGTAGGGCATACAACCTGGCTTGCTGGTTGTCACATCTTGTGTATATAAAATTAAGAATGCTTTGGCTGACTGCCCATAATTCTTTGAGTAAGTCGACAGCGCCATTTTCACTTAAGCTGCTTGTTTAAATCAGAGTTTGGAAAAGTTGTTAAGGACCACAGCTTCCCACATTCCCCAGCTAGCATGGCTATGATGAGTGAGATACACCGAGGTTGTAAGTGAACAGGTAACTTTTCCAAACTTTGGTTCAAACTATGTAGGCAGCCTAAACATACATACCAGGCTGTTGAGCTATATGATCCAACTCACTATGAAATTTCCTGCTGCTGTGTAAGATATTATACAGTAAATGCATCTGAGGTTGTCCTTAGCCACCAGCTGTTCCCAGGTTCCTCAGATCAAAGGTAGGATGAATGAGCAAATGAGCAATCCCACATTCATTATGGGATTCTTCTTCTCCACCCTACTCTGGAACCCAAGACCAGATTCAGCCAATCTGATATCATCATATCAATATCCTCAATGCCAGCACAGCTCAGAGAAGGAAAGAGAAAGGTGTTTCTTGCCTCACCCCCTACTTCTATAGATCCTATTGCAGCTCTAACTTTCCTTAGGTACCTGAATTTTTGAAACGAGCGTCGAACTTGGCAATTTTTTTCAGCTGTATCAAGCAAAGCCCATCCCCAGAGTTCAGGACATAGAGAGGAACCAGTTGTGGACACCCCAGAGCAAAGAAGGGCAGTCATGTGGCCAGAGGTCACATGCATTAGAGCAGGGCCAGAAAAAGAGTGCCACGCCAAGCCTGGGAGAAGTGGATGGTGACCTGACAACACATATATTCAATGTTCAGACAATGATGGCCAAGGCACTAATGGCTTCTGTACCTAAAGTCAGATGTATCTAGCAAAAGCTGTGACTCTATGCAACACTGAAAACCTTGTACAGGTATTTCACGCTAGGGACTCTGTATGGATTTCTCTAGTGCCTGGAGCAGGTGCTGAGTACAAGCTGCATTGATTTCAGTCCAGTGGACATAATGTTAAATAATGTAGCTCCCTTCCTTGTAGGCCACTGCAATATTTTAAAAGGTACAGTGCAAAAGTGCAAACTCAGGAGCTTTCGTTTATTTCTTTTATGAGCGTCATATCTTATCTTTCTCCCCAAAATGGGACTCAGGGCAGCGTATAGTAATACTGATTAGGAATTCAGTTGAAACTCAAAACAAAGATCAAATATTTAAACAGAATCAAATCAATAGTAAAAATTTAAGCCACACATCTTAAGGGAAATTACAGCAGCTAGCTGGAAACTAGTCTTTTCCTCAGCAGATGGCTAGTTGCCAAAAAGGCTGCCTGAATGAAGAAATCTTCGCCTGCCAGTGGAAAAAAACCAGGGAAGGGGCCAGCCAAGCCTCAGAGTTGCTTTGAGTGACATCCCAGTGTGAGTCTTTCTGTAACAGCACAGATACTGTATAGCCTCCCCATGAAATGGCAGGCAAGAAATGTGGGGAATGGTGGGAGGGTATTTTTCCGCTCCCCCCCCCCAACCCTGGCCCACTTCCAAAGGGAAAAATGGACTCATTCTGTCAAATTAGGGGAGCACACAATCCCCCCCCCCAATAAAAATAAGGTAAGGGAAAATGATTAGCCGAGGTTTCTGTAATGGTGCCACATCTGTTACTGTTTAGTTTGTTAATAGCATCAGGCTTCAGAAAAACTCCCATACAGCCAGAACGCACCCTTGCTTCTGAAAATAAAGCAAGGAATAATAAATTTTAAAGGTGATTAAATGGTATAGGCTTGAACAGAAAAGTGTTTTATAAAATATACAAGGCATTGTACAACCTCACCACCACAGTACCAAAAAAAAAAAAAATCCAATATAGACAATGTAACTGAGAAGCAGCGATCCTTATGATAATGATACCTAGGGAAGGTTCTCTCAAACCTTTTTTTTTTTCATTTTTACTTTATGGTTATTACAACCACAGGCCAGCCATGTCTGATATACATAACTAAAATACATTAGCAAATCTTATACCCTGTTTCCCCTAAAATAAGACCAAACCTGAAAATAAAGCCTAGTAGGATTTTTCAGGATGCTCGTAATATAAGCCCTACCCCAAAAATAAGCCCTAGTTAAGAGAAACCCCACCCTCCGCCATTGTGCAGCAACCAGAATAAGATGACATGACTATATTTGAATAAACATAGATTGTTGTACATGAAAAAATAAAGCATCCCTTGAAGATAAGCCCTAATAAATTTTTTGGAGCACAAATTAATATAAGTCCCTGTCTTATCTTCAGGGGGAAAGTGTAGTATTTACAAGCAATACAGAGCAGACCAAAATTCAAATTGCAGTGAAGTGTAAGTTTCTAATCTGATTACTGCCATGATTTCATCATCTCTTTTCTTATTATGCATGCCACTGTACAGAAATTTGCAGCCTTAGGTGCGATTTCACTTAAGGAATCAGAGAGATGTAAAATTTATTGGGTCTTGCAGCCAATTTTTAATAAAACTGCTAAAGAGAAAAGAGGGATAAAGATGTTGTAGGGAGGGCTTTCTTGAGCAAAGAATTCCAAAGAAATGGTGCAACGGCCATAGCTTTCCCTTCCTGCTCCAGGCTGGTGCCCACCTTTCTTTTGGAAAGGAGGGACTATAAAGTACCCATGCCACCTTGCCAGTCTTGGAGAGGGCTCAAAGGCTCTGCTTAGGCAATTGACTTCTAGGTCAGAAGGAGGAGAAGGAACCATTTGCCAGGTCATTTACTTTCAGCTACAATCCTGCAGGCACCTTGGCTTACTTACTTCCTCAGCCAAATCTCAGCACACTAGTTGGTATTACAGCAATTTTATACAGTGAAATGTCTGACTAGAAAGTAGTGGCTCAGACATTACTTCACCTCCACGTGGATTTTGTGTTCTCTGGCAAGGGTACAAGTGGACATTTAATCTCCTTAGAAATGATCCACGTGGAGGTGAAGTAATGTCTGAGCCCCTACTTTGTGGACATTTAATCTCCTTAGAAGTGCAAAGTATACTTAAAGTGCAACTTCCCTCCAATAGCAATAAACAGACTTGTGGCATCTTAAAGACTAGCACATTGTGTCCAGCATAAAGTGTGCGCCAGATCAAACTAGTTGTCCTTTGTGATGCCACAAGACTCTTCGTTGTCTTCGCTTCAACAAATAAACAAGGCCACCTCACCCCAAATATTCTTTGGAACAGGCATAAAACCAGTGGTTTCCAACCCTGAACAATCCAAATGTTCTTGGACTCCAACCCTCAGAAATCCCAGCCAGGTACAGCTAGTAGTGAAGGCTGCTGGGAGTTGCAGTCCAAGAACCACCTGGGCTACCCAAGGGTGAGAACCACTGACCTAGAGGAAATATGTTTCTGACTACCCTGAAACAAAGTTAATTAGTGTATAAGAGACAGTCCTCTTCAAAGGAAGCTTCTTTCATTAGGGCTGCAGTCTCAGGAAATTTCTGTGCATCTCCAGGTCTTCAGAAGGTTTGACAGATCTCAGGGTGAGCAGCGTCAGAAGAGAATGTTTGTATGAGATAATTTTAAAGCTTGGGGCCTCCATCTTCATTCATTCATTCATTCCCAGCTGGTACTACAAGCACACTGGCTTGCTGGATAGGTGTTTGCATGTGTGCCACACATATTATATTTGTGGGGGAGGTTGTGCAAGAAATCTACATTGTCTGTCTCAGTCTGTCACACACGCGCAAACAGAGACATTATTTTGCTCATCCCCTGTGGTGTCCTGACGGCCTGCCCTTGTGAGTTCACAAGTACCTGCCTTCCATCTCCCAATTTGGGCCCTGAAATCTCCAGGAGTGGGAAGCTGGCAACCTGACAACTCAACCTGTTGTGACATTAATACCTCCCTCCTTCTCCCCTCTCCCCCCCCGGTCCTCCTGCAGCTGGGACCGGAACCAGAAGCGCCGTCACCACTCCAGCCAGCAAACTGGATTGCAGCAGGGTAGCCAGCAGCCTCTGACTGACCTGTCACCGGCTACCGTCAGCATCCTGGGGCCCTACAACGATTCACCCGTTCCTATGCCAGAGATGGCAGAAACTGGACCAGTCCTGGAAGGCATGGAGAAGCTTGAGGGACTAGGGAAGACGAGTGCCTTCCAGCTCAACAGGTAAGTGACCCTGTTATGAAGATAGAGGTGGAGAAGGATGTGGCTTGACACCAGGAGGGCTCAAAGGGAAAATTAAATGAGTAACAGAGCTGAGGAAATCAAGGGAAGACAAGCGGTCTAGCTCTGCCCTGGGTCTGTACGATACCTTACTTTTTAGTGATGCCATGGACAGCCCATGTGATACACACAGGCTAAATAAGAGTGGCAGTTCTATTGCAGGACTCCCCTTTTGTGCCTGGGAAAAGCAGTTCTTCACTTAGACAAAGCAGCTGTTGTAAACCCCTCACGGCTCAAGACAACCCTTTTCCTCATCGAAGGTGCCTCCCCATTTCATGGACTTTTTCTCACCTTCTGTCTTTCTGCATCTTTAGTTCTTTGGGGCTCTGCATTTTAATTTTGTATCCCCGCCTGCCCCCTGATATGAATGGTGATGTCTAACAAAATCCACCCTCCACTACCATGACTTTGAAAGTTTGTTGAGGCTTTAACAATCTGCTCTGGGCTGGGAGCATCCGCCTTGCAATGGAATACAACACGGCCGTAATTAACATCTCGAGAGGACGACTAGATTGAGATGTCTAGAGATTGAATGCATCTGGTGCTCTGCTCTCATTTTAGCTGGAAGACATAAACCTGGTATCCAATCAAAAACTGACAGATGAGGAGGGAGAGGGAATTGTCTTGGCATGCCTGTGTATAGCGGAACTACTCTCTCGATGTGTGTGTTTAAAAGCACAATCTAGATCGATCTGTTCCTGGGAACTGGAGGAGGAGGATATGCAAAGCCTTAAGAGAAAATGATTCTAAAAAAGTGAAATCCAAGTATCATGGAATGATGGGGCATCACTAAAGGGAAGCCAGCCGTCATGTGCCTGCCCCTTTAGAAAAGAAAACAATCTTGGTGACTGCTCCTGCAACTAGAATGTTACAGCAGGGGTTCTCTTGGCATTTAATGCTTCAAAAGTAATAATGAACTTTAAAAGTCAGGGTCACAGAAGGGAGAATTTTGTTATTTGTTGTCATTCCTATCACCATCAAAGGCCAATGGGTGCCTGCACAACAGACACAACCATATTCAGGCCCCAGTAGCAAGTGCTGGGTCACTTGGATGAACTGCATCTTCTCAGATGCACATTGGCACATAAAAAAAGCATTGTTCTCCACCTGGCCCATTGTTCATTTCATACTGGCCTCACTGGTTGACTTCAAGTCAGACTCGAAAGCAACACTACCATCACACAAACATATGACTTTGAAAATAAAGCATCAAGGAATAGGAACCTCATTTGCAGGTAGGTAAAAAAAATGCCTTCTTAGTCTCGAAGGCTGAAGACTTCTACTGAAAATAATACATTTGGTATTGACATAGATGATGTCCCTTCAGTAGAAGTCTCAATTCTGAAGAGATCTGCAGCAAATGAAAAACAGCAGCAGCAGCAGCAGCAAAAAAAAAAAAGTAGGACTGCAAGAAGACTTGGTCTGTTTTGATCTGTGGATTAATTCTGAGCATAGTAGATTTTAGTGGGGAGATAAGCTGCCTTACTGTGAGTGGAGAGTAACCTACACACACACATACGTTTGTTGAGGGGACCCTGCCCTGCTCCCTACACGTTAGTTCCACATCCTGAAGTAGGCCACATTCCCTATCCTAGTGTGCAAGAGATAATAGGCCCGGCTTCCGCCCATCAGCAGAATGACGGTTGTATGGAAAGGAAAGTCACAGTAAGGCTCTTGAAGTTTTGATCATATGCAAACCCATTTAAATGTAATCAGCCAAAAGGGCAGAGTATTAATCAAGTACAATTTGTTCTCCCGAAAAGGATCTCTTGGAAAGGATGCCGTGGAGTGGTTTAGAATCAAGTAGAGCGGAGGGGTGATCTCCTCAAGGCCCCACACCCTCTGACTTTAGAACAACCCCAGATCAAGTGAAACAGGGCTACCCTTCTCCTGAACACCGGTGGCGATATTTTCTATATTTGCATTTATATATATATATATATTTGTCTCTTTCTTTTTCCTACCCATCCATTTTTTTCCCTCATCCAGGATTCCGCTGGTGAACCTGTGACTGTGTCAGAAGCCGTGGGGCCTGGGCTCCTTTTGCGGCGCGAGACCAAATGCTGAATCTGTGGGGGAACTACAGAGAACTGGCAGCCTTCCAATTAGCCCCGTCATCCTGTGAGTGTGGTGCTGCCACCCCTCCTGACACAGCAGCAGACGTCTTGTAGATCCCTTTGTGCCATGACTGTCCATCATCCTTGCAGGCCCAGCCCAATGGTAGATGATGAGCTGAGGTGCCACCTGCCAGGCTGGGCTTCCCAGTGGGCCCTTATTACTCCAGGGGGTGGCTGGGCAATCTGACAAGAACAGAGGGGCCAGGAGGCAGAAGAAAAAAAGAGCAAGAGCTGTTAGCGTCATAGTCACCTCAAAACGATGTACTCTACATCCAATACATACAGTATACATAAAGACACGCATACAGACATACACCTTCATTTCTTCATAAGCATGCTTGTGATCCGGGGCAGGATACTCTTGAGTCTCTCCATCTCTCCCATCCATAGCCCTTTTCCACATTATGTGATTGAAGAGCCAGCCCCTTTTTTGCAGACAGGTTGAGGGGAAGCCACCTCAAAACTGTATGCCCGGGAGGAGTGTCGGACAGACAGCAATAGCAGAAAACTGATATCTCTCACAATGTTATCCAGTTCCCCATGACCTGCTTCCCGACAAATCCACCTTCTTTGGAACTGCTATCCTTTTTTTACTCCAGAAATGCCACCATTAGTGGAGATAAACCTTAACTCCAGTAGTAGCTACAAGCAGTTCCCAACTGAGCTTTCTAAGGGCTTCTTAACCTACAACTTAAACACTTCCTGGTTGCAGATGCGTCCTGAGAAGCCAAAGTGAGGGATGTGGTGTGCTCTCAGATTATTGTCTCTCAATCATACCCAAATAATTAATGCACAAGTAACTTTTATTCAGTAAAAACCCTGAGCAAGACACAAAGCAGTGTTAATTAAAAGTTTCCTCCTTACAGGTTCACAGCCAGTTAGTATTTCTGGATGAACAGCCACACAGGATTAGCAGTGAATAGCTGTTAGTCCCTCAAGTACTACATCTTAAATGTGCCAATGATGAAAAGGGAACAGAAACAGGCAGTACCGGTAAATGGATGTAGACCTATAAAGAGGAAGCTTTGAATTAACATTGCTATGGAGCTTTACTGAACAGGACATAAATATTACAGAACAGTGGGAAAAAGCTTTGCTGGATAATATAGTACTATTATTAAGTGCACATGTGGAACTGCTGCTTACATCTAATTACAGAATAATTATTATTCAGCAGCAATGATACACTGCAATGTGGAAGTATTCCATGCAATTTTTTTGGTCCCCCTTCCTCCTTTTCCAAACACACCATTCTGGACTTGTTTACACAGCCCATAAATACAATTACTGCATTTTTTTAAAAAAAAAGCATAAACCACAATCTTTCAAGTATTCCAGATTCCTCATAACCATTAATTTGGATTTAGTACTGAAACGTTTTTGAACTTAGCTCTCTCGCTTATCTTGCAAAAACAAACAAAGCAAAACTCCTAACAGTTTCTGTCTCCTGACTAGGTTCAAGGGATTGTGACTGGGCATCACAATAGTGCTGATCCAATCCAGTTCAGAGAAAATAGTGATTTAAAAGTGATTTAAATTAGTTATAGCAACTCACTTATCCTATGGCTAGAACAAGGACATACAACACAATCCCAAACATTTGGATTCCGACTTAAGTTTTCTCTGAGCTCAATGGGACTTACTCTGCAGTAGATGTTTAGGAGAACAGCCACTTCTTTTTGCTTCTCACAGAGGAAAAATAAAAGTTATATGGGAATCTTTATAATTAAAAAAAATACAAAACACATATATTTTAATGAACACAGAGCTTGGAACATTATTTTTTAAAATTAGTTTGTGACTCATAATAATTACATACTTTTTAAAAAAAATGCATTAATATTGCTTGTGGCTTATTATTTGAGGATTAAAATGTAAATAACATCATGAGCCGGAACCCTGTTTATGCTGTGCTTCTGTTTCTCCACACAATATCCATTTTGGAGGTGGAGATTATGGAAAATGCCCATTAACACAAGTAGGGCTTCTGCTATTGAATATTTCCTTAAGTACGTTCTGTTACTCATCAGCCATTCATATAACAGAGTGTTGCATGAGCCAAAAGAAAACAAAAGATCCTGCTGGTCTGAAAGTCTAGTAGAATCTTAAAGATAAAATCGTTCTATTTGGCACAAGTTTTTGTGGACTGCAGGACAATTTCAAGACTTTGTACATCCATGGTGGGCTACAGTTCCGCAAAAGCTGGCTGAAGAGCTCAGTGGTTTAGGTATCTGGGTTGGGAGTTTGATCCCCCACTCATGCGTGCCTATACTGGGTTGGGAGTTTGATCCCCCACTCATGAGCGCCTATGAGTAGAGCCAGCCTGTGTGACCTTGGGCAAGCTTCACAGTTCCAGGATGCCTGAAGAAAGAAATGGCATCTATTCTCTACCTGGAAAACCCTGAAAAGGATCACCGTATGTCAGGATTCAGTTGACAGCTCATGATGATGATGATTTTTCTGCAGGAAAACCCTGAAAAGGGTCACCATATGTCAGGATTCATTTGACAGCTCATGATGATGATGATGATGATGATGATTTTTCTGCAGACACTCTGGGACTCTGCAGCTGGACCAAGGCTACACATGCTGGTCGAGTTCCTGGCTGCAGAGGCAGAGGACAGGAAGTATGCCCTTGTTACTTCACCCTTAATACACTATTGGTAATATTATTTTTAAGATGGCACTACCAACCTCTGATTAACAGTTATTCAAAGCAATTCTTTTCCTAAATCATGTAAATCTCTTTAAACTCTTCTGATATGGAACAGAGCCATACCAGAGTGCCGAGATACTGTTGTGCTTTAATTTCAGAATTCTTAAGTAAAAAACTGCTCCTGCTTTCATGCAATCTGGGTCATGTTGATAACAATGCTATGGGGTCTTGGAAGAATGTAGCCTTCATTGTGCTCGGTTAGGTGAAGCCCTGATCAAGAACCAGAGTTACTGGAACCTCTGGTGGTGAGGAAAAGAAAGGCTATGGGATGCATCATGGGGGGCGGGGGCGGGGGGGCGGAAGAGGTAGAGAGAGACCTGTCTTGGGTCCTTTTAAGGAGAAAGGTGGGGTACAACGTATTTTAAATAAATAAAGAATAAATAAGAGTGAGATTTCTGATAACATCTTGCTGCAACATACAGTACTCCATATTCCAAAGTGGTATACAACATTTGTGAAAGCAGAGAGAGGAAAAGGCACAAAAAGATGATTCGGGGCTAGCGTATACATGCCCCTTATAACTTGAGAGCACAGACAAGTTCAATCAGAGGATTATCCCCCATTCTTTTTGAAGGAGCAGGCAGTTTGGTGCCTCAGTCTCACAAAATGCTTATCCCTCGCGTCTAACATTTCACCATACCATTTAGCTGTCGTGCTAACAACCATTAATACAGTCTATCCTTATGGCTTTTTCTAACCCCCCTTAAAAAAACAACAACACGACACTACCTTTTGTAGCACCCAACTCCTCTGCTCTTCAGTAGCAAGGAATTAATTCATTTATAATAAGCTGTTCTTTATTTGTTTAAAACAGTTTACTGCATCCTTTCATGAAGTCAGGTTCCAAGGAAGTATACAAAGATGTTGATCATTTCTTTTAAAAACATACACGGCAGAATAAAACATGAACACCAGATAATCATAATAAGAAACAGCATATAAACATACCCAGGCAAACTAAGGGATGAATTAATTAAATGTGTGGGTAAATAAAAACATCTTGATTTTTTCCTAAGGAACATAAGTGTGTGAGTCTCTTGTAGGAAGGAAGGAAAGGAGGATGGACTGCGGCAGTCTAAAATCCAGCAGTTTTCTTTGACTTTCATGGACTGGTCTGTTCAAACTTGCACCTACAAAGTGTGCTGCCATCCATGAAAGCTTCTGCCAAATCAAATCCGCTAGTCTTTGAGTTGCCACAAGATTCTTCGTTACTTTTAAAGTTGTTGTTTAGAAGCTTGGGTGTCCATTACCAGGGAAGGTCTGCTTCTTTCTGATTACACTGATTCTGAACATGCTTCTGATTAGGAAGGCCCTTGAAGGAGCTCCTCGGCAGGAGATTGTCAAGACATGGGCATGCTTCTAAAAAGGCGGCGCATTTCTTGAACTACAGCATTTCCCATAAAATAAAACTACTTACCTGCCATCCCTCATCAGATCTCTCAACTTTTCTGCCTTTTAAAAACGAATGAATTATTAATTCACTCACAACAGCAAGGCAAACATGTATGTTGATGGCTTCTGTACCTCCTTTATAGAATTACCTTCCATCATGCAAGGAAAATCTGAGGAAGTGCTGTCCTAGATCTGATATTCCTGCTTTTTTGCTACCTAGGGTAGGAAGCATCTAGTGGTAGTTCTCCTCTTTCTTCTAATCACACAAGTTTAGGTTTTTTAAAAAAACCAAACAAACAGCCAGTAAACACGTTGCAGCTTTCAATACAAGACCTCTACCTTCCCTAAGCCATAGAAAGATGTTTTATGACCCAGTCATAAAACAGCCTGTACAAAGCGAGAGGTTACTAAATTACTCATTATGCAGATTTCCTGCTCTTCCTTCATGGAACTCTGGTCAACAGACAGTTCCAGGTCCCATTTTCCTCGCAATTCCTCATAATTCTGATAAGTAGACTAGACTAGGAGAGCGTGGCTGGCGCAAGATCACCCAGCAAGCTTCATAGGGAGTAGAGACTGAACCTCTTAAGGTCCAGATCCACCACTCTAACTGATGGCTATGTTTCTTTCTCATTTGCAATACTATGCTGGCTCTCTTAACGGTAATTTTTTTCCTTTTTAAATGAGGAGAGAACTTACATTCCAGACTGCTTCAACTATTTAGAACACAGGAATGCATATTTACTTAAAAGCTTATTTCCTTTTGAGCTTCACACCTTCAGGTGTTCAAAGGAGGGGCCTGCTGAACCATTAGATTGAATAATTTGAGTTGTCCTGGCTGACTGGGGCTCTACCAGCTCTTTAACTAATCCACCTCTATGGGAGGTCTGCCATCTCTCCCTTTCTTGTTCTTTTTTCATTGCATTTTGCCTCAATGTAGAATTGCTATAAAGCATTTAAAATGTGCTAATTGTGCTGAAACTGCTCTTCTCCCCTCCCCTCTAGTATTCAAGAGACTTACAGCAATCATACCAAAAAAACAGTGAAGCTGTAAGGCCAAGCTCCCGATGGATACTATCACACCCGCCCCTGTGGACAAACGGGCTAGCAGTTTTTGCGTTTTGCAATATCTGCTCCTTGCACCACCAATTGTGCAGCTGGGACCCAACTGGAAGCACAAAGGGCACCAACAAAATAACAGGCTTGATAACTGCCCTTATGTGCTTAGTGACTCCAAAAGGAAATATAAAATCCAGTTTAAAATAACCAGCATGAAAATAATAAAAAACAACAACAACCAATTGCTAAAAACCCAGAGAAGTAAAGCCTGCTGTGTTTGGTGTCTGAAAGCTAATTAAGTTGCCATCAAATAGCAGATAGGTCAGGGGAAACAAAAAATTTTTTTTTAGTAAACTGAGAAGACTCTGCACCTGGTTCCTGCCATCACACATGAAACATTACAGATCACTGTGTCTACAAAGTAATTTACTTTAAATAAAATGTAGGAAACTCAGGTTCCTGAAGATCTAAATTATCTTGATATGAAGTTTGTGCTGCTTGATTTGATTTGATTTGAGAATGAAGATGTGGCCAAGTTACGAAGTTAAATCTTCTGCCCTGCTGCTCTATCTTGGTTAAGAAGTACAGTAAGACTAAGAAAAATGGAAAGAAAGTAATGCTTACAGAGTGGTACACCAGGAAGGACCATATTTTACACATCATCTGACGTCCATAGAGGAGCCCCATATGACACTGCAAGGAAGGGGCCATAGCCTTCTGTTGAACCAAGTCCTGAATTAGCAGCTGATCTAAGGACACTCACCGTACAGGAGGGGCTGTTCGGTAGGGGCATTCCAGTGCTCCCTCTTGCCCTTGATGGCAGTCTCTCCATTTTCTCTGCGTGGAATCCTGAACACGAGGATCCCTTTGTAGCTTTGGGATTTGCTCTTCTTTTTTATTGAATTGCAGTCCTCCTTAAAAGGAGTGAGAACATTTTCTCATTTCTTGCAAGATGTATGCCTATATTCTTGCTATATTGCTGCTATCTAACATCACAGTTTCTTTTTCTTTTCTTTTTCTTCCTTATTTGCCTGCTTTTGTTTATTTCAACCCCTTCCCCCCTGCCCATATATATACACCAGGAGATGGCTTATATACCAGATATATATATATATATATTGTATGGGCATAGACTTGCAAAGTCGCATGACTTTGAATTATTCATCTGTGTATTTTTTGGTCATTTATTCTATGCCACCCTTGAGTAAAAATATTTTCAAGGCAGTTCACAGTGCAGAAATAATACTACAAAAATTGTTCCTATGAGAGTTGGTTACAGTGACCTTCAACTGGATTGGAGCAATAATGTGAAACTTTTCTCCTGGAAAACATAACTGTTCACAGCTTATCACAACCTCAAATTGTGGTCTCATCTAGACAGAGCATTTGTTCCCCTTTATGTATCTGATGTTTACTGATATCATTATCTTTCCCATCATTCAGATACTGCAAGGCTTAAATCATTCAGTGATGGCCATGCATCATGTGACTGCAAATTATTCAGTGATCTAACTGGAGCATAAGTAAAGATTGTGTGATTATGCCTTCAGTTCCAACAGTGGCAAAGGATGAGAAAAGTATTGGGTTTGTTTGTTTTTAAC